TCAGAGGTGACAAATGTGCAGCCCTCTGGATGTTGTTGGCCAGTGGTGGGATTGTGGGAGTTGTAGTCCAGCAACATCTGGAGGGCTAAAGGTTAGTGTTATATATTTATGCCTTTTTCATCCAAACTGGCAAAGTGTTGCATTTGTCCTGCAAATCAGGAGAAAAAGAGGCATGGAATTGTGGAGAACATTGGCCAGGTGTATTGAATAAATATACTTTCATTATGGAAACTGTGAGTGACAGATTAATTTACAACTATACAAATGAAAATGTAATTTCAATAGATAACACTAATACAGATAATTTATTTTTTAATTTGGATAATTTAATGCTAAACCTGTCAGCTGACCACATTCCTTTGTATGCCGCTGTAGTTGTAGCATATCACAGTTTCTAATTGTATACTGAAATCAAATATTTGATTAAATACAAGCTACCGCAATGAAACACTAGGATGAGAGAGATTCAGAGTAGCAGGTAAGGGATGTGCAAGTCTTTTGCTCAGGTAGCATTATGGGATGGGCAGCTGCCTCAATGGTAGCATTTACTTAAGGAAGGGAATCTCTTCACTTTAGAAATCTGAGAATATGTGTACTCCATTTACTTAATGCACACTTTAGTTTTATTTTGCAGTGAAAGCGTCAAAGTCAGAAGTTACTTTTCCCTCGGGAACATACAACGGAAATGCAACATTTGGTGCTGGGTTCTGCCTGATTATTTTTTATCTATTTCCCTTTAATTAAACAGATAGTACCATTGTAGTTTCTACCCAATTGCTAAGCATTATTCAGTAGTTAAGTATCTTTGTGGTTTTGCGGGAGATAGTGAGTGGGAACTGGTAAAACTACTATTTTACCAACATCCTTTTCTAAACTAGATTCTCTCCCCACCTAACCTCCCTCTCCCTGAAGATCTGCCTGACAGTACACCAGATGTTTAGGAGGCTAGAAACAACAGAGACCCTGAAGTACTACTTAGATCAGGCATCCCCAACCTTCGGCCCTCCAGATGTTTTGGACTACAATTCCCATAATCCCTGACCACTGGTCCTGTTAGCTAGGGATCATGGAAGTTGTAGGCCAAAACATCTGGAGGGCCGAAGGTTGGGGATGCCTGACTTAGATGATCAAGGATCAGCACAACTGTTTCGCTATAGATTAATTTATTAATGTACTCTACTTTTCAACCAAAAGGTTTCAAGAGAGACTTACATAAGATTAATGAAACAAGACAGTTCCTGCTCACAGATTTGCAGTCTAAAAGACACAGGACAAAGGAATGAGGAGGGAAAAGGGAAACAAGCAAACACAGGCACCAGCTCTTTTGCATAGTTGTTCTTATAATGACCAACTGGAATGGAAGCCATTTATGGAGAGGAGGCTCCATGTGGAGCTGGTTTCTCAGCAGAGCTAATGGAGTGGTCCTGCTCCCATCGATCGCTCTGCTACAGCCTGATGCAATGATGGGAGCATAAAGTGAAGAAGAGCTGAGATAAATGAAAAGGAGATAAATGATAGTAGAGATTTGACTCCAATGAATTGGTGGAGCTCATGAGGCTTGGGAGGACCTTAGAATTTAAATTTTGAGATAAATTGGTAGCTTTCATTGGCAAAACCTTCTTAAGTATTTCCCAGACATCAAGGGCATGGATATCATACAACAAGGGCATACATATCATACAACAGTAGATAAAAAAGGTTAAATCCACAACATACAGAATTCGGTAGGAAAAACTTCTATGGCTTAAATGGTTGTGGCTTATTACCCAATTTTTCCTCCTTTTTACTCACATTTCTTATCACAGCTTTTCAGTAACTTGCGTTACTTGCATAAGCCTATGATAATTTCAGTTTTTATATAAACGTTTCCACTTCACAAAATTAGACTGGATGGTCTTGATGAAACAGCAGCATGAATAAATTGAATTCTGAATGTGTATCAGGCAGCTGCTGTGGAAGAAGAATCTTAGACCAACTCCCGATTTAAGCATCATAAGCAATGACTCCAATTAAAGCAACCACCACAATCTCTCTGCGAATCAGGACCTTTGGGCCCCAGAGTATACTAAATGTTGAAATTCCATAGTTCCAGTAGTCTTTCCCCATCTGTGCTATTTAAACCTGCTGGCAGTGGGGGGAACAGTATCCTTAAATTTCCCATTGTGTAAAAATCTTTTCACACATAGACAGCTAATATGTCAGGAAGAAGTTTCATCCTCTTTGGTGTGCAAGCTTTCCACATGCAGAGGTTTTTTCTGTAGGGGAATACGGAAAGGGGTCAGAAGCGTTCTGCTGTCTGACACTCCTTGCCACCTGCAGGGATGCAGTCCAGTGTTGATCTTAAGGGACAAGGAGATGGGAAGAGGCAGGTTTGTAGGCTGTTGAAATTCTGGACTGTTCTTCCTGAGCTTTTAGTCTGGAATTTCAGTGTTTACTGTGTTTTGAGGCCCAAAGGTCCAAGTTTTTAGGGTGTGTGTGATAACCGGTTATATTAACAATAACTAAAGGCGCTCTAAAAGCACAGAATAAAAATATAAATAGGTAACTATTTAAAACCATTCTGAGGCTATTAATAGAAACATATGCACGTAAGTCAAGTAAACATTCAGTACTTGGATTGCGAGTCTTTCAGGGACAGTGATAAGGCCTCTGATGAAATTGCTGTAACTTGTGTAGAAACGTACGCAGTAAAATGGAATGATCAGCAGGAAAGCTGTCTTGCAGTGTCAGGGCACAATCCTCTGTCAAATCCAAATTGTCTGTATTGGCAGCAAGCCATGACGTGGGCTTCAATAATAGCCATGACTGGTGGGAGGCAGGAAACTGCAGACGGAGAGTGACAAGAGTTCAAGGGCAGAGAAAGGAAAGACGTTTAGGGTTGAATCAAAGCATAGAAGGCCCAGGAAGCAGAAGTGCTGACTGCATGCCCTGTTGTGTAGACCAGGAGTAGGTTGATGTCATTCGTGATCCACAGAAGCAAGAGTGTGTACTTCGATTCTCTTTAATTGTTAATGTCTAACTCAACTGATTTTAGCTTAAGAAGCGCCTTGTTGGATCATAGAAGGCTACACATAGCAAATTGCATTCACTGCAAGAATCCCAGCAATGAGCAGGTGCCAGTAGGTCCACCGCAAAATTGGCTAGTAGTCCACTATCTACCCTTGCCTTCTTTGGTTGTAGATGCTGGGCCACCTGGAGTTAATGCAATCCAATCAATGCTTTTTGCAGGATATCTCTAGGAGTTTAGTTGCACAGTGCTCAGCTGTCCTGGCTATCGCTGTAGGTAGTTCACTGGCCTTGGACACAGCCATCCTGGGTTCAGTTCTTGAAAGCCTGGCCACTAACCAAACTGTTTGGATCTGGGCATGATGCCTGAGCAGCTTCAGAAGTGATTGTTTCTTTGGTTCTCCAGCTCTTGAAAACTTGGGCGGTCTTACATTTTGAACTTGAGCATTTGTTTAGGCCAGAGGGTCACTGTGGATGGCAACAGCTTGTAAATTAATGCCGTGTACAAATAGATATCAAGACTTGGACATTGGTTGAGGACACCAGATTATAGCTGGTAGGCGTGTCGCACTACTTGTGCTTTCCTAATGCTGCAGTTCCAAGTGACATGGAGAGGCAAGTCTTGGGATGTTTTGGAAATGATAACCTGTTAACAGAGAGCTTGGAGTTGTAATTCAGCTGTGTGTATTCTCAGTCCTGCCTTAGCTGCTTGGGATTTGTGACTGGGAGCCAACAGCTTCGCCATTAAGGCCACCTAGCTTGGTTGTGACGCACAGTGGTTGGAAAGGCACAACTTGTCATCATTGTCAGCTCATGGCTTGATCTGGAGACTGTGGGATGACCTTTACTCTATGCTGCTTGCAGAACCTCACATAAGAAGGTAGCCAGCACAGGGAGGAGAGCTGTGGGATGGTGGGAGTGGATGTTGTGCTACTGGCCTGTAAGCATGAGGTGCCTGTTGGACTTGTCACTTGGAGATGGAGAGAGCAGTACACCCTCCAAGAGGTTCCTTCTTTCCCAAACCCATAAGGAGATACAGTGGAAACTGGTTCAGGCCCAAGGAAGGAGTAGGTTTGGACCACAGCACATCATTTCATCTGCAGAGCCAGTTGGCTAAAAAAGAGCACCTTTTAGAAAACAAGGAGAGAGACCTCCAAGCCTAAGATCTCTGGCAAGCTTTTTCAGTAAATGGTTGCTAAGCCAGAGACATTTACCAGTCGTTTGGGCTATCCCTAATCACTGGGTTCAGAGAACTCTGGATATGAAATGTGTTGGTGTTCTACTGATGCTAAATAAATAAATAGAGGTGTTTGGAATTTCATTATTTCTTTTCCTGCTTCAAAGATAACACCATCATCACATCGTTGCTCAGCCATGTGTACCCAGCTCCAAGACAATTGCATTGATAATTCCCACTATCTGGATGTCCATTGCTTTTGAACTCTGGGCCTTACAAACTATGGCAGTTGCAAAAGGGACCACTTTGGGTGGGGATCTGGGAGAGGCCTTGAAATTCCCTTGCTCAGGTGCCAGAAAACATGGTGCTAATGTTAAGTTGGCTTGGAAAGACAGTTGCCTGGCTTAAGTGTTTCCTCAGAATTCTTTCTACTGGTAAGTACGTTAGGATTTGACTTTGGAACGACTTGTCACTGGAAAATCCTGACAGCTCTCTTTACAACATGGTCCTGGTGTTTGGAATGTAGAATAAGCATTATGTTTGATCTCTCTTTCTTTTTACACACACCCCTGGGGGAAAAACACTTGCCTAAGAGAGCCAAATTCTCATTGGTAGGGATAACATTTAATGCCAACAGTATATGGTCACCCTATAGAACACGGAAGTGGCATGGCAAAGGTAAGAAGATAAAGGGAGAGCATAGGATTTACGTAAGAAGTTCTGTTGGTAGAAGTTCTCATAATGGAAAGAAGCAGGAAAAAGGTGTGAAGAGTGCAGCAGGAATGGCTAATTGTGGCGTCTCCTTTTCTTCCTTTAGACTTGTCAAGTGTGCCAGATGCTGTTGCCCAACAAGTGCAGTTACTGTGCTCATCAAAGAATCCATGCTCACAAATCCCCTTATTGCTGCCCAGAGTGTGGCGCCATTTGCCGGTCGGCCTATTTCCAAACCCACGTCAAGGAGAACTGCCTTCATTACTCCCGCAAAGTTGGCTACAGGTTTGTGCTCAATTGAGGGGCGGTGGTGCATGAGGAAGATGTGCCGTGACATTTAATGCACACCGAGCGGGGATGAATGGGGCGAGGGGGAATTGAGCTTAAAATCTTATCAAATCCTTTTCACGCCACACAGCTTGGCTGCCAACTTGTTTGGTGATCAGACAGGCTGACAATTTCAGGATATCAAATGCTGATAAGGCGTGTTTGTCCTGCCGTGCCTTCAGAAGGCACATCTTTATAGACACTTTGGCAATGAGTGTTCTTCTGTGCTTGCAGGCTAAGAGAGGGGGAAATGCTGCAAATGCCAGGGCTTTTTCAATGGACTTTCACAGCCCTCTTAAAGGTTATGAAGTAGTGATGGTCTGATTCTGACACGTAGTTTGCTTCCTCTGTATGCTTTATAGTTCTGTCGCTCTCTGGCTTCTCAGTTTTGTTGCTCGCAAAGGAGGGTACTGTGGTGGTGTTTTTTATTATTATTATATTGCATTTTTATTTTTATTCACTACCATTTGGATAAACGGTGGATTAGACATTTTAAAAATAAATAGTATCCATGGGGGGGGGAACTGAATCGATCTAAAATTTGGTGTTTCAGTGTCTTAACTGAAAAAGTACAGATGCGATACTGACTTTATGCTGCAGGCAGGGAACTTATGGCCCTTTTGATGTGGCCATCTTGGCTGTGAGTCCTGGAAGACCTGCTCCCTGCCTTGCAGGCCTTTTCCCACCTGGCCTGGAAAGGTGGTATACACTGACTGACTCCAGCTACAAAAGCTGAGGCTGCTGAACAGACTCTTGGGTATTGTTTAGAGAGGGGGTTGTTAGCAGGGTTTGTTTCTGTTATTGATATTTATTTTTTTGTACCTTTATTTTTAGATCTTCTTATGGTTTTATGAGGAACTTGTTCAATTTGGTTGTGTACTTCCTGATTTTTTAAATGTATTGTTTCTGACAATATTTGTTATATTTGTAATTATGCATGTTTTCATGATGTAAGCCTCCTTGAGCATGGAAAGCAGAATATAAATTGCTGGGCTATAGCTGCCATCATCACTGGCTGTTGGCCACATTGGCTGGGGCTGATGTGAGTCCAGCAGCACCTGGAGAGACCACAGCTTCCCCACCCTTGATGTAAAACAGAACAGCAAGAGCAAGATGAGCACCAAATACTTTTTTATTGCTTAGGTGGAACAATGCAGCATGAGTTAAAGGGTGCTTAGTAGGCTCCTAGGGATGCGGGTGGTGTTGTGGGTTAAACCACAGAGCCTAGGACTTGCCGATCATTAGGTCAGCAGTTCGAATCCCCGCGATGGGGTGAGCTCCCGTTGCTCGGTCCCTGCTCCTGCCCACCTAGCAGTTCGAAAGCACAGCAAAGTGCAAGTAGATAAATAGGTACCGCTCCGGCGGGAAGGTAAATGGCGTTTCCGTGTGCTGCTCTGGTTCTCCAGAAGCGGCTTAGTGATGCTGGCCACATGACCCGGAAGCTGTACGCCAGTTCCCTCGGCCAGTAAAGCGAGATGAGCACCGCAACCCCAGAGTCGGCTACAACTGGACCTAATGGTCAGGGGTCCCTTTATCTTTACCTTAGCAGACTCCTAAGTGACTTGATTTGCTTGGAATAAAAGCACACTGAAGCCCAGGCTAATGCAGGCAATAAATAGAAAGGAAGTTTGGTGCTGCTGTTAGTGCTTTGTGGCTAACAGCAGTTGCATTTTGATTTGAACACCCCTCAAATTGGAGTGACTTTGTCCTGTATCAGCTGTATCCCTGGAGGTTTTAAAACATTTTCAATGTGCATTTCATTGGGACTTTTGAGTGTCTTATCAGAAAACAGGCTTTCCCCCCTGGTTTTTTTAATTATTATTATTCATTTTTGTCTTTACCGCCATTATCGATCACCCTGGAACACTTTAATGCTGTGGATTTTACAAATGCTGTGGATTTTACTACAGTGGTGCCCCGCAAGACAAATGCCTCGCAAGACGGAAAACTCGCTAGACGAAAGGGTTTTCCGTTTTGGAGGTGCTTCGCAAAACGAATTTCCTATGGGCTTGCTTCGCAAGACGACAATGTCTTGCGAGTTCCTGCTGGTTTTTTCCCCCTTTCCCCGCTTTTTCTAAGCCGCTAAGCTGCTTATCAGCTGATCCGATCAGCAGATAAGCCGCTAAAAGCCGCTAAAAGCCGCTAATAGCACTAATCCGCTAATCCTTCAATGGGCTTGCTTCGCAAGACAAAAAAACCGCTAGACGAAGAGAATCACAGAACAGATTCTTTTCGTCTTGCGAGGCACCACTATACTCCCTCCAGGTCAATGAGGCAGACCTCAGTGGGTCCTTGTTTCCTGAACTTGCACGGAAATCTCAGTGTGTGCTTATGATTTTTTTGTTTTGGTTTGCAGAGCTCAAGTTTAGCTCTCTCTCTCTCTCTTTTCCCAGGTGCACTCACTGTGGGGTTGTCTTCATGTCGCAAGCTATGCTGAAAGTGCACATTCACGAGAAGCACTGTGAAGTCTTCCACAAGTGTTCGTTCTGTCCTATGGCCTTCAAGTCTGCAGACAGCACCACTGCTCACATTACCAGTCAGCACCCCGCAGAACCTCATAAGACATCTCAGTAAGTGGCTGCCCGGTTAAATACATGTATTGCTCAATGTCTCTTCTTTACCCAGTTTGCCTTCTATGCCCATCCCCACTGGGCTTACAAGAACGTTGTTGTCCCAACTGTATGGAGAGAGAGAGAGAATAAACTGTGTTGTGGAGACAGTTTTTAGTAGGATCTGCATACCTTCTCTTTTAAAGAAAAGAAGGGTTAGGCAGAAATCTTGTTTTCTAGTTATCTTAATATTTAGTTATGTAGCCCATCTGCTCCTAAGACTTTTCACACTTGGAAAGAAGCAAGGACGGATTTATCATCTGTTAGCGTACAGACAGCCCCTGTGCTCTGCATGATGTTACGTATTTCTCCAGAGGGCATCCTAGAATCATTGGATGGTTATTGCACAGAAACCCATTTGGCAAACCATGAGGATAAACAATGGTAAGAGCTGTTTGACAGTGGGAACAGACTGTCTTCAGAGCTGTCGGGGTCTCCTTCACTGGTTATATTTAAGTTGGGCAGCCATCTGTTGGGAATGCTGTACTTGCATCCAGGATTTCAGGTCCTGCATTGAGCAGGAGATTGGAAATAGATGCCCTCCAAGCTCCTTTTGATTCCATGTCTCTGTGAAATTGCCTTGTAACTCCTGTCTGCTAGAGAAGCAGTAATGGGAGCTTCAGGCAGAGCCTGTCGGAGAGAACTACAAATTAAAGTAAATAGCAGCACTTAGAGCAGGAGTGGAGAACCTTTTTGGCTCTTTGGGCCAAATCCTTATCAGGATTAGTTTCACGGGCCAAATGTGATAGGTGAGCGAGGCACCCCACATGACTGACAGGTGAGAAACACACCCACCCATCAAAAGTCCATGCTGGAGCAATGTTAAAATGAGCCCCCTCCCTTCTTTCTGAAGCACACACACACACTTAAAGGTAGATCCAACTGATGCATGAAGGAGAAATTGCAGCTCCCAGGAGATGGGGAAAACCACTTGTGGAAGGCTGATCCTTGCAAAAGCAGTTCTTTCTCTACCCCCCCTGGGAGTTGTGTGCAGCAAAATGGAGCAGAATTTAACCTCTGCTCAGCACACACTTCCCAGGAAGGGGATGGGGAAACCCCCTTTGCAAGGATGAACCTTCCCTAGCGGTTTCTCTCCCCGCACCCCTTTCATGTAACGATGCAGAATTAAGACAGGTCTGCTTTTGCTGCACCTCTTTCCATGGAGCAGGCGCACACAGTGAAAGCAAGCAGACTCTGTGTTTTTCTTCTGCTTCCTTTGACTGTATGCACCTGTTACAAAGAGGGAACAGATGCGCTCAGCCAAATGGAGCAGGATTTAACCGTCACCTGTAAGCTGTTCCTGCTGGGAACAGCCACTTGCAGCAAAACAGAATTGAGACCCACCCGCCAGGTGACATCACAACAATGTTTCCTGTTAAATACATGTTTCCAAGGCATTTTGTTGGAGTTGGGTTTCTAATGTTGTAAACCGCCCTGAGAGATCTTCTGATAAAGGGGGTGGTATATATGTTGAATAAATAATAATAATACTTCAATAATTAATTTAATGATGATGATGATAATAATTTTTTCTATGTTGATTTTTTTTGTTTAGAGTAAACTTTCATTGCTAATTCATTTTTCAATTGTTCCAGGGTGATCTACAAATGCTCTTGTGAGACGGTCTTTAACAAGAAGAGGCTTCTGCAGGAGCACTTCCAGCAGAATGCCAACAGGCTGATGGTGGGAGTGTTCAAGTGTCCGCATTGCCAGCTGGTGTATATGCAGAAACTTCAGCTAATGCAGCACGTTAAGGTTGGTGACTGGAGAGGATACCATGCCTGCACAGAACACTTTTCTACCTTCTGAATTGAGATTGCTTTGCATGAAACACATCGGCTGCCCTTCTTTCTTTTTACCCACCACTGGTGGATATCCTCACAAGCAGCCTCAAAACCAATTCAAAGCTTGCGTGTAAAACAGGCCTCCCAGAAGTGTGTTGCGTTAAGAGTCCAAATACCTACAGCATCTAGATTTCTTACTGAGAGACTGGTGCTATACTGACTGCACTGCCTCCCAGTTCATTTCTGGGCGCAGTGCAAAGTGACCAGCGTAATTGAAGGGCCACTGTTCTCCATGTGCACCTGCCCATACGTGAAACTCTTCCCTTGTCAGTAGTAGTATGTGCCTGAAGACCAGTTGTGGAATGCTCTCTTTTCAGTGCCAAATACTATCTAAAGCTTTTAAAATGCAGGTTTAAGCCTGTTAACTGTTTAATGCTGCTTTTAGAATTTTGTGGGTTTTTAGCTTGTTGTGTATATGTGCGTTTCTGTATGTGCACATGCATGCTTCCCCCCCCCTACATTTTATTGTTCTTTGTGTAAATTCCCCTGAAAATATGATTGAAGGGCGAAAATAAAAATTCTTCTAATAAATAAGTGTGTCAGGCATATGAATTCTCTTCATGCCTCCAAAATTCCCTGGAAAACTTAAGAGCTGCAAAATCTGTGACTCTCAAGTCTTGTTGGATTCCAACTCCCATCAGTTCCAGCCAACAAGGCCAGTGGTAAGGATGATGGAAGTTGGAATCCATCGTCTAGAGGGTTGCAGGTTCCTTCCTCTTGGGTTACAAGCTAGGCTTCTTTCCTTCCTGTCGTTCAGGCTGTTCACAAGCAAGAAAATATTTACAGAAGCACTCTTCATAACATGTATTGGAGAGGCTGAATGATTTAACTGCAGCATCTAGTTGAATTTTGCCTGTGTCTTTCTATCTGAAAAGCAACAGTGACCACCTGCCACTTTTGTACTCAAGGAAGAGCTTTCATGGCATTATGATTTCAGACTATGTCATCAGCATTTGCCAAAGGGAGAGATGACAAAAATCAGAATCTCCCTCATTATCTTTGCATATATTGCCTTTCATGATGCTACCAAGAGAGAAATATCACATCCTTATTATCTAGAAAGGCATCTTGGTTGAGCCAGCAAAAACTTGTCCATCTCTTGACAGGTATCGAAGACATTGTTACAAATAGCACTGTTCAATTTGCCGTAGCAGCAGCTAACGAATACAAGGATTTATCAGACACTTGACTGAGCTGTATAATCCTTGTATATGTTAGCTGCTGCTATGGCAAATTGAACAGTGCTATTTGTAACAATGTCTTCGATTGCAAAGTAGACCCTTGTCTACAGAAGCTCAAGGCACAATGCATTTGTTTTCTTTAAAATGCCACAGGACTCTTAGGTTGAAATTCAAATCCTGTGAACCTACTCTTGGATTATGAATGAGGGCACCAAGACTCAATTCAAACATGCACGTATACATGCACCCTGCAACTTTGCATTGGTTCAGAGTTTAATTGAGTACAAACCGGGGTGCAGTTTCTTCAAATCACATCCTTGGGCCAAGCCTGATGTGGGTATTGAAGATTGTGAACAAACACTGTGCTCTCACACTCCCTTTTCCTTTGATCAAGCATTCCAAACTAGGATTTGCAATCCCAGTTTGGAGGGCTTGCTCAAACTTTAGTTTGCCAGTTCAGATGTGTCTGCAAACTGTTACTTGGTTTGATCAAACCATAGCGTGCCGCACAGAGGCAGAGGAGGCAGCACTCTACAGCAGCAGCACTTTTTCACAATCCTCCAAACTGTGAATTCAGTCTTAAGTCTGCTGCAAACACACTATGCTCTTCTGTTATAATTTAAGTGCATAGTTTCTCACTGTGTTTATGGAATGAATCATACTGTGTTAGCGTTAACATAGCCTAATGGCTATGGACATAATCTCTATCTTAGTCCTGGGCTGTCTAAAACAGAAGGAGGTGGGAAATGATATGCTTTTGTTAAGCAGAGCAGTTTCCTGCTATTTTAGGAAAATAGGCAACTTCCCTTTGCCCTGTTCTAATGCTGAGGCTTGATTTTTTTTTTTTTTGTTGTTCATTAGAGCGTCCATGGGGTCCCTGAGAATCCTGAAGATCTTGCTAGCTTCCGACAGAAGCCAGAAACAGCAACTAACAGCAATGTACTTCCAGCATCAAAGGAGCTGTCAGTAATCAATGGTACTTCCCAGACCTCTTTGCCCACAAAAGGGACGAGCCCAGAATCAAAACCCAAGCCAAAACCCTGCAGTTGGACGTGTCGGGAGTGTTCGCAGTGCATCCCTGACCGAGAAACCTATGTGTCCCATATGAGGAAAAGCCATGGAAAGGTAAGGGTCTGGGGGCTATATTTTGTTCCTCTTTCCCACAGGATTCATCTAAAACTCTTCAGCAGCGTGCCTGTCATTGTTTGAGCTCCAGGGGAACAAGTTTTTGGTTTCCTGCACATTTAGGCAGCACCAATGATATGGCTGTACTGTTGCATCTGTTTTTAATAATGGTTGTGTGGAGTTCGTTTTGTTTGAAAATTATTTCAGGACCTTCGTAATAAGAAGCAATGTGCAAATCTAATCTAAACCTCATAGCATACCTTTTTATGTTTGTTATAGCTTACAGCTAAACAAATAAAATTGCTACTGCTTATTACATAAACCTTGTAGCAGGGTGAGAGCCTGAGTAGATGCTTCGTTCTTTTTGGTCTCTGCAGTCCTATGGCAGCATCAGAGATAAACTTCAGAGTATGTTTCTTTCTCTCTCTCCATGTGTTCCCCTTTTAAGACCATATGTTTCTGAAACTGTATTGACTGCAAATGCATAAGCATTATCTGGATTCTTCTCCACAAAAATCTTATAAATTAGATCATGAACATTCACATTCTGCAGATGGGGAACTGGCTCAAGGCAAGCTTATCAGGTTTATGGCCAAGGGCTGCTTTTTATGCTACAAGAGAGACATGTTTGTAGCAGGTCAATTGCATGTCTCTATGGTGAGCACAGTGACTCTCGAAGAAAAACATGTCTGGGCCACAATTGGCCAGGACTCTTAAATGTGTTTACCCTGTTTCACAAAAGTACACTTTGTCAGATCAAGGCTACAGGCAGATGCATTACAGATGCTAGTACAGTGGTACCTCGGGTTACATACGCTTCAGGTTACATACTCTTCAGGTTACAGACTCCGCTAACCCAGAAATAGTACCTCGGGTTAAGAACTTTGCTTCAGGATGAGAACAGAAATCGTGCTCCGGCGGTGCGGCAGCAGCAGGAGGCCCCATTAGCTAAAGTGGTGCTTCAAGTTAAGAACAGTTTCAGGTTAAGAACAGACCTCCAGAATGAATTAAGTACGTAACCAGAGGTACGACTGTACATGAATCTAGATTGTGTGGATTCTTTTGCACAGATCAAGACCAAAAAAAAGGAGGCAGCTCATTCTTGCTGTCAGGACTAACGCTCCCATTCCTCTCATAGAATGTGAAAAGATATCCCTGTCGGCAGTGTGAGCGCTCATTCAACGCCTCCAATAGTCTGCACAGACATGTACGCAATAACCATGACACAGCAAAGAAAGTTTACACCTGCTGGTGAGTACACAACTGTTTTCCTGAAAATTTCTCTGAGTCTTCCAGGCTAAAAAAGTGCTTTGTAATGGGCCATATCTAAGGCTTTTTAGGGCATAGCTTAGAACAAAGGACCTTGCACTAGCTCAGGTACATTTTTAGGTTTCACAGCTAGATTCCATGATAAGACTGAAGCACGTTAGGCTTCATGATGCAAGCACTGGGCTATATCTAAGCAAATGTAGAATGCTTAGTTCCTTTTATATTAACTTTGCTGGAGCCAGTGTGGTGTAGTGGTTAGAGTCTGGGTTTCGCTGTCTTGCCCAGGTAAGGCTGCAGTGGCTCTTCACAGGCACAGTCCCACTACTGATTGGCATGGGAGTTTTTACCTGCTCCGTCTCCAACCTGGGCTGGTTCACCCCTCCTTGAGCAACCTGGTGCACCTCAACTCCCCAGGGCTCGCCATATTGATGCCGAACTTAGCGCAGACACCTGATTGGCATAGCCCACAGCAGGGGAGCGGATGGCGCTGTGGTCTAAACCACTGAGCCTCTTGGGCTTGCTGATTGGAAGGTTGGCAGTTCGAATCCATGCACCGGCGGTGAGCTCCTGTTGCCTTCTCCCAGTTTCTGCCAACCTAGCAGTTCGAAAGCACACCAGGGCAAGTAGATAAATAGGTACCACTGCGGCAGGAAGGTAAACGACTTTTCCATGCACTCTGGCTTGTCTCAGTGTTCTGTTGCTTCAGAAGCGGTTCAGCCATGCTGGCCACATGACCCGGAAAGCTATCTGTGGACAAACGCTGGCTCCCTCGGCCTGAAAGCGAGATAAGCCCTGCAACCCCATAGTCACCTTTGAGTGGGTTTTAACCATCCAAGGGTCCTTTACCTTTACCTTTTTACCCAGTGGCTAGACTGCCTGGTTTGGTGGTGGGAGATCCAAGTTCAGAGTCATGAAGCTGACCTTGAACAAATGACTGCCTCTCAGCCTAGCCTCCTTCCCAGGGTGGTTGTGTGGATGAAATGAGTGACTAGTCTTTGTAATTTGAAGGGAAAGGTGAGGACACAAATGAGACAAACCACTAAATAAATTTCCTGCAAGTCTACAGGTGACTGCTAACTGCTAAAGCGTAGCCGCCAATGTAACTCTGTAAAATGATGCGTGCTCTGAAAGTATTGCAATATTATTATTTTGATGAATAAATGTATTTAAACTCCAACATTTTGCTAGTTGAACGACTGTGCATAAAATATGGACATCCAGTACTTTCATGATCACCTTTAGTAACAGACTCGCATGTTAAGGTTTGTACTGATGCTTTTATAATGTGACACATCTCCTCATGACATCCATGACCAAGGAGACTCTGATTCTGAGCAGGAATGTGACTTTCACTGATACACAGTACATTTTCTTGTACAAGTACATCTGGCAATTTAGTCTTGAAAGTTCTAATGTGGACACAAATGTTGACAATTTCCCTCACGGATGAAACACATTCTGCTCTCGCTTGATTCTTTTTTAAATTATTGATTCTCTAAAAGGGAAGTCGTCGTTATCCTTTGCCATTGTACAGAGAAGAGCTGTAAAGGGGCACAAGTTTGCCATGGTGCTGCTGGAATAGAAATAGATGGCTCTTGGAAGTGGATGTATACATAGATTGCTTTTGGTCTTTTGTAGTAACTAAGAAGGAAAAATGTTTGAGAGCCTCATGTCATCCAATGTACCGTATTTTTCTCTCTATTACACGCAGATTTTTTCTCCTAAAAAGGAAGGGGAAATGTCTGTGCGTGTTATGGAGCGAATGTGGGGGGGGGGTCCCTGGAGCCGATTAGGGGAGCGCAGGAACAAAAATCAGCAAAAATCAATCGTGCGTTGTGTCCGAGAGGGAAACCTGAAAAGAGGAAGTGGTTGCTTTCCTGCATTCTGCCTCAGGGTCTTACTGCCCACCCTCCTCTGTTTCGTTGCTGTGTTTGCTCAAACGGAACAAAGAGCAGGCAAATCCCCTCCCCTCCAGGCAAGCAGAGGGGAAAGCAGAGGTCTTTCCTTCTAATTCCTCTCCGTGCTCCTCGCAGGCAGCCAGAAAACATGCAGGAGAGAGAGAGAGAGCTGGCTTCGGTTTGGGGAAACTTTTGCCTTTCTTTCCTCCCTCCCGTTAAATCCCTCTCCTGCTTTCTTAGCCAGCTGCTTCTCTGCACACCGCTCTCTTGTCCCTTCTGTGTTTTTCCTTCACTCCCCACTTAAAATGTAGTTACAAAGCATGGATCCACATGGATCCTCAGGATCTTTGCATTGGGCCACCCCAAATTCACCATCAGATCACATAGCAGCCTGCCCCCCTAAAATCACACACCCACTGTTGCCTGGGGCTGCAATGGTGCAAAAACGTGGTTAAAAAGCATGGATCCACATGGATCCTCAGGATCTTTGCATTGGGCCACCCCAAATTCACCATCAGATCACATGTCTGTGGCCACAGCATGAAGCACAAAAATGATACATCCACTGTTTCATTCAGAATTTTTTCCCTTGTTTTCCTCCTCTAAAAACGATGTGCGTGTTATGGTCAGGTGCATCTTATGGAGCGAAAAATACGGTATTATTGTTTTTCTTCTATTATTATGATAGGTATTTTTGTGTTTTTAAAATGTAAACCACCCTGTGATCTTTTGATGATGGATGATATACAAATTTTAATAATATTAATAATAACAGCAGCAACAACAACAATAATACATTTGAAACCATTTGAGGGGGCAGAACTGGAATGGGTTATTTGTGCAGGTGGCTTTGATGACTGTCCTCTGAATCAAAACAAAATGTCCATTTTTGAGCTACTTGCATAAGCAGAAAGATAAGGTCCATGCCCCAAGAAACTTGCAATCAATATATTGATAGTTGTGGGGAACCAACAGACAAGTAGGAGAATAGGTAAGGGATGAAAGGTGGAATACTACTGATATAATGCTCATGCTTCATTATGCAGGGAGGTTTGGGGTTAACTTCTTGACATCTTTTAAAATGTCATAGATTTGTGGAAGAACTGTGTTTATCCTCCCTTTAACTTGTGATATAACACCTTTTCTTTATCATGAATCTGTTTGCTCCTTTTGTTATTTTTATATTGCATATTTTGTTTTTATTCCATTTTACCTTTTTCTGCTTATATATTTGTATAGACACTTACATTACCAAAATCCAATAAAAATATTTTCTAAAAAAAATATGAAAAAGAAATGCTACTTATATCATGATACTATTTTGCTTTGTATTTTTAAGGTACTGCACAGATGAAATCCAGACATTTCCTCAGCTGTCTATGCTAGAGAGCCACATCAGCCTCATGCACGGCATCAAAAACCCAGACCTTTCCCAGATATCCAAAACCAAAGCTCCGGCAGAAGACTTGACAAAAGTAATCTACCATGCTTTTCTTAAATAATATGTAATTCTATCTCATGTGCTTGCCTTCCCCAGTTTTGTGGCCTCCTTCAAGAACTGTCTTCCTTGTGTGGCCTGTGGAATTCATTTTCAGCTTTTTCTTTCCATCAGGATTTGAATTCTGTATAGATATAGATTATATACAAAACTGAATCTTTTGGAGGAACTGCTAGATCTCCAATTAAAAATGTGGTTTTTAAAAAATCTGTAGGGAAGTTTCAGTCTATCTAGTCCGTCTATCCTCTGAGCACATGTCTCTTATAAATTAGCTCTCGTCTTGTTTACTAGTTAAATTACAGTCCTGTGCACTGAAGAAATTTGTATTAAAATCTGGACTAATTGAGTAATTAAACTGAAGATAACCAGGCGGAATGTGAGGAGAAATTAGATACTAGGGAGCTGATGGCAGGTCACGTTGGACATCTTTTGGCATCGTTAGAGATGGGACAGAGAATTTTCACATGGAGAACAATGGAATGCAGATGAGGCAATTAATACACTTAGTGATACCAGGAAGGAGCATCCACTTCTAGCAGCTTTTGTCCTTTTTTATGCAAAGCATTGGTGGCAGCAGTTGCTAAATCTTTCTTCCTGCCTCCTCCCAAAATGCTGCTCCATTGCATTTGTGTGTCTGTCAGGGATGGAGAACTTCCAGAGGTTATTGGACTACAACTCCTATTAAGCTTAGCCACATGCTTCCCATCCCTAGCATAAAAATAGATCAGATCTGGGGAGTGGTCTATTGCCAGGTCAGGTCCACTGTGAGTACACCACCCACATCTGAAGGGATCTGCTCTCCATAGGGTGTAATAGAGATTTTTGTGTGCTCTCGCTCCTCCCCGCACACACACATCATAGTGAAAGCACTGTGCAAGGCCACTGTGGCCATAGCATGTTCCTTGACCAGGCAGAAGGCTTGACCAGGGATACAGGAGGTGCGCACAGGCTTCCTCTGTCACATAATGGCTTGGTTTGCTAAGCGAGGAGGCCAGGGAAGGGGACATGGATGTGATACCCTACAGCAGCCTTCCCAAACCGAATGCTCTCCAGGTCTTGTTGGGCTCCCATCATCCCTGAGCATTGGCCATGGTGGGTGGGTCCGACGGGAGTTGTGGTCCAACGGCATCTGGAGGGCTCCTGGTTGGGAAAAGATGGGGATCTCTCTCTGTATTCGCAGTGCACCCATGGTGGGCAGGAACGTTGTCTTACGGTGCTGATTGGCGCACTAAAGCCATGTGTTCATTTCCTAGGCAAAATATCCAAAGAGGGTATCTGCAGGTGGTTTGGACCAAACGGAAACTACGGCATCGGGATCTGAAGATCCACCAGCAAAAAAACTGAAGGCACACTGGAAGTGCGCCAAGTGTGGATTTGCAACGGCCGCTGAGAGTGAATTTCTGGAACACATACCTCGGCACAAGACGGACAGCTCCACGTACCAGTGCCAGCTCTGTGGCTTGTGCTACACGTCTCACATCTCTCTGAACAGGCACCTCTTCATTGTTCATAAAGTGAAAGATCCGGAGGAGGAGCAGGAGGAGCCTGATCCTGAGCCAGATTCTGAAAAAGCGGCTCAGCAAATGGAGACAAGCGAGAACGGACTTGCAGAGCCGAATGGCAAGATGAACACTGCGGACGAGGAAGGAGGTGGTTCAAAGAGCCAGGACCCTGAGGGCGACCCCACGTCCTGTGATGCAGAAAAGCCCAGCACGCAGAACAAACACCCCAAATCTCCAAATATTTAAAGAGCGTGTTTTGCCTCACTCTAAATGTTGATTGGAGGGGGAGGGGGGGTTCTTAAACATGCTGTTCATTTCATGGAATGGGCGCGGCATTCCATTCACTTTAATTAGGAAGGGAAATCAAAACGGCAAACTGCCACCGTCTCTGTAGCACTGAATATGTAACAATTATGAGAGGGGGAAGTAGAATGTGATGAGGATGTCCAGCTGAACCATGTCTGAACCTTCAGGTCAGGAGCACTTTTCTGCTTTGTGTGTGTGTGTCTCTCCCCCCCCCCCCTTTCCAGGAACAGCAGGACCACTCTGGTCCCACTAAAGGCCTCAGCCAACAGTTCCACCTCAGTTTTCCTGTTCTTCTTCTTCTTCTTCTTTTCATAACAAGCATTGCCTTCCACTTCAGTTCCTTACCCAAGCCTGCCAGGCATTCTGTCTGGGCTGCAAAGCCTGCGTCAACTCTTTTTCTCTTGAGATGTGAATCCACAGAGGCTTTCCTTCCCTAAAATCATGCTGGCTTCACCTTTCAGGCACTCCATGAGTCTGGTCCTCTACCCATGCAGAACACAAAAACAAAATTGGTCTTTTTTTTTTCTAGAAGCGATTCGGTGCCACTAAACATTCACCTTACGTGGGTTAAATTTTGCACAAATGGAGTTTCTAGGTTCCCACTGTGTTTTAAACAATAATCAGCCTCAATGTTGGCCCCAATTGGAGCTCTCCTGTGTTCAGAACTGGGCCGGGTTGTGCTGGAGCTTCTTGCAAGCCAAAGTACAAGCTTTCACTAATTATCCCACATGCACATACCTGGCCTGGGAGTATTAGTGACATATATGATAGACTGCAGGATGCTTTTCTCTCACTGGGCATATGACATTTAAATAAGAATTGGGTTGCATATGTGATAAAATTCTGCACGATTAAATGTCTACACTAGAGGGTTTGCTCCCACGTTGTCTCTCATGCCTAAGCTGCCCATTCAGGCCCTGTGTGATCCGGCCCAGAGTCTCAAGATTCTCCTTCCTTGTAAGCTTAGCATATTGTTCTGCCTGTGTTTGGTTCCTTCTCTTGCTGTATCAGCCAAAGCAGGATCGTCCCGTAAGAATTTCAGTCATGTGAAAAGGGCGCTGCAGGAGAAGCTGTATTCAAGAACGCAGAACCTGTCTGTCTGTTGACATATCCAGCTGCCAAGTATAGCATGGCCGGCCGCCTATCGTCGTTTCAGAATGGAGCTTTCCAGATCACCCCCAGCAAAGTGAGGACAAGAAGACGCTTGCTCCAAGAGATCTCCCTGCCTCGTTCTCTTCCAAGTGCTCCCGCTCTTGAGGAACTACATTATATCTCTTCCCTGCCCCTCCCACCTCTGCTCAATTGGCCGAATTGATTCTGGAGTTTCCTTTCCACACTTGCATTGACTCGTCTCCCCCGTCTGTGCCGTTTCCCCTCCCCTGTGCTTATTCCTCATGCTTTGTGTAATACTTAACTTTTTTTATACGGTTTTTATGTTTTGAGTCTGAACCCTGCTCATTGTTTACTATAAATAATTTTAAAAAAGGAAAAAAAACCTATTTATCTTATTGCATTTGAATTGCTCACTTTCTCGTCTGAAATGTGTTTTGATAAAACCCTTTGTATTTTTTGATACTGTGTACATTTTAGTCTAGGGAATGTTTTACAAGGTAGCCTAGCTATAGTAACAATAGCAGGGGGTGGGGAGGGGGGGTGTCCCTCCCAAGCCATCACATATCTATTTAATCCGCAGTGGCATTTGTGCCTTGCTATAATGTTTACTTCAAAGTATTTCAAATAAAACCATCTAACAATGTGTGGCTGCCAGGCTCCATTCTCTAATACTGTGGTTCTTCCATGTGTGGGGCAGCAAGCCCCCCCTTAAGGAAGCAACGGCTCCTTCCCCACCCTCCTGAGTTCAGGGTTTGGGGGCCATGACTGGGGTCAAAGGCAGGCAGTTCCTTTCAGTTCTTCCCCTCAAGGCTGTAACTCATGCTGTGCATGCTGAGAAGATGCCCTCAGTGGGCATCTTTATCCGTGATATCCCTCCAGCAAGGACTTTGGATCTTAACTCTCAGCTATTACTAGGGAGACGGTTCTCTTGCCTTCTCTTGTTTTATGAAATTTGCCGCATGAGAAGATATCACGTGGGTCTAGTAGCACAATAAGGGCATGGTGTGCAATCTGCTCCTGTCACTTGCGGCTTTTAGCAGTTTTATGTTGTGTCCTGGTTTTCTCCCACCCTCCTTTGCAGTTTTCTAGCGGTTTAATCCTATGCAGGTAAGTTCTGTGCTCAGTGGGTTTATTCCCAGGTAAGTGTATAGGATTGCAGCTTGCCAACATTCAGCAATTGGGAAGGCTCAGCTGAATTTCATTTCCATAGCCTACTTTAATGCCTCCAGATTACATCTCCCGTGTAATAAAATCTAGAAAGATTTGCTAGCAAATTGGGGAGAGGATGACTTGTCAGAGGTAGCACCTGAATGCTTCTGTCAGATTTAACGGCTGCCAATATCGGCATATCCCTGCTCCCCAATAAATATGAGGTTGCGCAATTGGAAACATGATCCCTCTCCAGCCAGTAGATAATTTGGGTTTCTTATGCAGTTACATACGCACCTGAAAGATACGCATTTAGTGTTCCAGAGGCAAACTCATGACCCTTGTACAGTATATGCCCTTTCCAAAAAGAAATTTGCAGTAGCTCCAGCTATGAGCCAAAATGGCAATGCTCTCCAATATGATTCCAGCAGTGTGGCCTTAATAGTCTATTACAGCAAAACCATCAAGAGTCTTACGGCAGGAGTCTAACATGAGTGACATATGAGTGTGTTGCATTAAGTCAGGTTAAACAGTCCCAAGACTCCTGTTTTTGTTCCAACATAATCGCCCCGTTTTTTTAAAAAATTAGTCTGATGCAATAATCTCAACCAGGACTAATACACTGCTTTAGATACATTCTTTCCAATACTGCATATGGCATCTTCGCATAATGCTGCATTGTGTATTGTTCCTCCATAAGGCCAGTTCCTCGAACTGAACTGATCCCACCATCATTAAGTTCCTTCTCAGATTTCAGTCTACTTAATGTATTGCCTCAGTAATGGACTGGATGAGAGCCAACAAACTGAAACTCAATCCAGATAAGATGGAGGTACTGTTAGTGGACGGTTCCCTAGACTGGATAGATGGGAGATGGCCTGCTCTTGATGAGGTTGCACTCCCTCTGAAGGAGCGGGTTCATAGCTTGGGGGCACTCCTAGATCCTTTGCTCAGGTGGCCTCAGTGGTGCGGACTGCATTCCTCCAGCTGCACCCCTATCCGGACAGGGAAAGCCTAACTTCTGTCATCTGTGCTCTGATAACCTCTAAGTTAGATTACTGCAATGTGTCTCTGTATACAGTTCGGAAACTTCAGCTGGTACAGATTTGGATGACCAGGTTGTTCACCAGGAGAAGATGGTTTGAGCATATTACAGTGGAGCCTCGCAAGACGAAATTAATTCGTTCCGCAAGTTCTTTCTTCTTGCGAGTTTTTCGTCTTGCGAAGCACGGTTTCCCATAGGAATGCATTGAAAATCAATTAATGCGTTCCTAGGGAAACCGCTTGCCAGGCTGGCGGTGCGGAGAAGGGCTTTTCTCCGCACCGCAAGCCTTCAGGACAGGTACGGGAACAGAGGGGAAGGCGCGCAGCGCTTCTCCTCTGTTCCCGGGGCTTGCGTGGGAGGAGGGTTTTTCCTCCCCACCGCCAACATTCAGAACAGCATTCTGAATGTTGGCGGTGGGAAGGAAAACCCTCCTCCCACCCCAAGTCTTCAGGACAGCCATCCGATGCCGGGCTGCGGGAGGAGGCGTTCCCCCCCCGCCCGGCATTGGAGCTTCGTTCCGATGTCCGGCGGCGGGAGGAGACGTTCCCCCCCCGCCGGACATCGGAGCTTCGTTCCGATGTCCGTTGGAGGGAGGAGACGTTCCCCCCCCCGCCGGACATCGGAGCTTCGTTCCGATGTCCGTTGGAGGGAGGAGACGTTTCCCCCCCCCCCCGCCGGACATTGGAGCTTCGTTCCGATGTCCGTTGGAGGGAGGAGACGTTTCCCCCCCCCGCCGGACATCGGAGCTTCGTTCCGACGTCCGTTGGAGGGAGGAGACGTTCCCCCCCCCCGCCGGACATCGGAGCTTCGTTCCGATGTCCGGCGGCGGGAGGAGGTCCGAGGACAGTGGGGAAGACGCGCTGCGCTTCCCCGCTGTCCCGGAGATTTCCCTATGGGCTGTCGTCTTGCGAAGCAAGCCCATAGGGAAATTCGTTTTGCGAAGCGCCTCCAAAACGGAAAACCCTTTCGTCTAGCGGGTTTTCCGTCTTGCGAGGCATTCGTCTTGCGGGGTACCACTGTACACTGATGCTGGCCCGGCTGCACTGGGCCCAAAAGCATGATGTTTGCATATCAGGGCTCCTGTTTTTTAAATGCATTATGACAAGCAGAAAGTCGATAGGAGAAGCAGCAATGAGGCTCCACCTGATAATTTTCTGCCTGTCCAAGATAAAAATTAATGGAGCGCAAGGTCCATTGTGTTGTTCTGCTCTTAAAACATAATTACATGTACCAGAAATAATAGCAATATTGTTTTCATTTTATTAAATGGGGGGTGTAGGTTTCTGCAGCCATCAAGATTCATTTACTAATCTCCTTTTACACTTCCCAATTCATCACATAACACTAATATTGTGTAGAGGTTTAATAATATTAATAATAATTTTATTATTTATACCCTGCCCATCTGGCTGGGTTCCCTCAGTCACTATGGGCGGCATCCAACACATTAAAAATTGTAAAACAGACATTAAACATTTCAGATGTCTTCTAAAAGTCAGATAGTTGTTTATTTGCTTGACATCTGATGGGAGGGTGTTCCACAGGGCGGGCGCCACTACCGAGAAGGCCCTCTGCCTGGTTCCCTGTAACCTCACTTCTCGCAAGTTAAAAGGCTGGACTTGATTTGGGGAGACCTGACAAATATTCAGTTGCTTCTCTTAATTTATACTTCATTATTATTTAAAGTACCTAAAACAAGCACCGTAGACAGATTTTTGGCAAATAGGGTGGCGCTGTGGGTTAGACCACAGAGCCTAGGACTTGCTGATCAGAAGGTTGGCGGTTCGAATCCCTGCAACGGGGTAAGCTCCCGTTGCTTGGTCCCTGCTCCTGCCAACCTAGCAGTTCAAAAGCACATCAAAGTGCAAGGTGCTGCTCCAGCGGGAAGGTAAATGGCGTTTCCGTGTGCTGCTCTGGTTCGCCAGAATCGGCTTAGTCATGCTGGCCACATGACCCGGAAGCTATACGCTGGCTCCCTCGGCCAGTAAAGCGAGATGAGCGCCGCAACCCCAGAGTCGTCCGCAACTGGACCTAATGGTCAGGCGTCCCTTTATCCTTTACCTTTACAGGCCCTACCCTTGGGCATACAATGCAAGAAACACGATACATTGGGGCAATTTGGAGGAAGAAGGAAACAAGCAAATCCAAGTCTCCAAACTGTTAATGGAAGGGACACTGCTTCTTAATACTTCTTACATTCTTCCATGCCTCCTTTACCTCGCCTGCAGCTAGGTTTGCAAGAAAAGCCCAATGCCAACCAACCAGCCCCAGTGAAGCAAACAGAACAAGCCCTGCTGTCTCTCCTCACTGCAAATGGGTGGAGCTGCCACTGGGAGTTGCAACAGAGCAGTTTTGGTGATCATTGGGCGACCTTCAGGTCTCAGCCTTGCCTACTTTACAGGGATGTTGTGCTAATAAAGGAGAAGCACAGAACACTGCTCCTTTACCTCTTTGGACAGGATGGGAAATTCATAAATGCTCTCTAGGGTAAAGGTAAAGGTACCCCTGCCCGTACGGGCTAGTCTTGCCAGACTCTAGGGTTGTGCGCCCATCTCACTCTATAGGCCGTGGGCCAGCGCTGTCCGGAGACACTTCCGGGTCACGTGGCCAGCGTGACATCGCTGCTCTGGCGAGCCAGAGCCGCACACGGGAAACGCCGTTTACCTTCCCGCTTGTAAGCGGTCCCTATTTATCTACTTGCACCCGGGGGTGCTTTCAAACTGCTAGGTTGGCAGGCGCTGCGACCGAACGACGGGAGCGCACCCCGCCGCGGGGATTCGAACCGCCGACCTTTCGATCGGCAAGCCCTAGGCGCTGAGGCTTTTACCCACAGCGCCACCCGCGTCCCGTGAAATGCTCTCTAAACCACTGCAATAAAAAAGGAAATGCGCTCTGTGAGCCCATAATTTACGAACACACACACACACACACACACACACACAAAAGCACCTCTGGGAAGTGTAGAGGTGCAGGGAATGTTATTTGATATGTGGTGGACATACAAAAGGGTAAATGAATATTGGGAAATGATTTATAATGAATTGGAAAAAAATGCTTAAAATTACAGTCCTATCTGTTGGGGATAATTGAGATTGAAATTTCCCCAGGTGTCAGGAAATGTTATTTATATGTGCAACAATTGCAGCCTGTGTTTTGTTAGACCCAAAATGGAATATGAGCCAGGTCCCAACCAAAGAAGAATGGCAACTTAAGTTGACAGAATATGCACAACTTGCAGACTTGGCATATAGAATAAGAGAACAAGAAGAACCTACCTTGAAAGACGATTGGAAAACGTTTGTTGAATATATGGAAATAATTGTGTACAGCTGAAAACGCTGGCAGCATTAAGATAAATTCAACAGTGTAAATAAGTTTTGATGGATGCAATAATGGAAAACCGATTGATAATAGTTTTTGTACTGTTTTTAACACTTGATTGGAAGCGG